GGCATGCCCGGGGTGTCCAGGTCCTCATCCCTGTCCCTGCCCCCATCCCCGTCGCTGTCCTCGCTGCTGGGCTGGGAAGGTGCTCAGCAGCGAGGGGAAGCTCCGCTGGAGCAAAGCCCTTCTCCGTGGCACCAGACCCCGCACAAACCGCCCGGGGAGCTGCGTCAGGGAGGGCGAGATCAGCCCCGCTTTGTGTTCCCAGGGCCAGCTGGCCCAGATCGACCGCGAAAAAACCCCCAGCCTTGTGCAAGGCATCGTCCTCCGGAGCAGAGCTGGTGGCGGCGGGGGGAGGGAGGGAGGCAGAAGGGGCCGGGCGCTGCCGGGAAGCCAAAGGCGGTGTTTTGGGGCTCGTTTTGGCTGGTTTATCCCCCGGCAGCGGGTGGGATGCTGCGGCTCGGGCTGACACCGGCTGTGTGCTGCGGAGATGACTCATGTGTTTCGCGGGGAAGATGATGCTCTCGGTGTCGCCAAGTGATGCCTCTGCTTTCCTCTCCTTCCCCAGGTGAAGGTGCCAAACCCCTCCGGTACCTGAAGGGGCTGCAGGAAGGCTGGAGAGGGACTTTTCACAAGGACATGGAGTGACGGGGCAAGGGGGAATGGATTCGAGCTGAAGGAAGGTAGATTTATACTAGATATGAGAAAGAAATTCTTCCCTGTGAGGGTGGGCAGGCCCTGGCACAGGTTGCCCAAGGAAGCTGTGGCTGCCCCATCCCTGGAAGCATCCAAGGCCAGGTTGGACAGGGCTTGGAGCAACCTGGGCTGGTGGAAGGTGCATCCTGTGTTCCCCCATGAGGAAGCAGAGATTCACACCGAGTTTCAAACCTCAGCTCATGTTTTCCAACAGGCAGCTGTGACACCTCAGTCACTGGCTCTTTTCTAATGCTTGGGGTGGAAAGCACTGCAGGTGCCTGTCAGGTGGGCTGGTGGGATGCTGAGAGGGGGCTGTGGCTGCTGGTGGTGTGGGGGAGGCACAGCCATGCCCACGCTGCTCCCAACCCATGCTCCTGGAGCTTGGCTATTTATACTCCTTCCTCCTCCTGGTGTGTTTGTCTGAGCCAGTTTTAGAGCTGTTGTCTAGCACACATACAGGACTGGGGAGATGCTTGCAGGCTTCAGATTAGAGCAGTGACCGAAGTCCCCATGACTTGGCACACGTCTGGCTCTTGCCCTGCCAAAAAATGTGCTGCTGCCCTGTGGCTGGACTGTGCCTTGGCATCCTCGTGGCTCAGAAAGGCTAAAAAAAACAGCCACGAGTCCTTTTGCTGCTAGAGGAGAGCTGGTGCCAAGCAGGTGATGCTCGTGGCACAGGGCATGTGTGTCCCCAGCCTGCCTCTGGCCACACCAATGCTGCTTATCCCCCAGACTTACTCATTTTAAAGCTGGAGCTGCAAGAATTGACGATTTCCCTCTTTTATAAGTGGTTTATTGATCCTGCTTTCTTGCTAAGGGCAGGAATTCGTCCCCCGCCTGCTGGTCCCTCTGTGCAGTGTGAGTGTTATTTGTGGTATCCCACACGACAAACACCTATTTTTAGCTGAGCATTCTTGGAAGGGGTTTTTGGTACCTTGTTTTCTGCAGGGAATTTTCTCTCTTGCAGGGGTGCTGCATTCCAGGCTGCCCAGGGAGATGCCTGGATGGAGGCAGAGCACGTGGCAGGTCCATTCCCACGTGGATGGCCGGTGTCCTGCTCCAGTGGCAGCAGGCTCCTGAACAAACAGGGCATCTCCCTCCTGAGAATCATTTTCCCAGGAGTTATGGCTGCAGATCTGTTATTTTGCTTTTTGACCTGCCTGCCTCCCAGGAAAATCTCCCTTTCATTGATCCAACCCTCTGGGCTCATGGCAGGGCTAATGACCCAGTGTAACAGCTCTGTTTTAACCTCTGCTTTCTCTCCTCCTGCTCAGTGTCAGCATTATGAAGCACCACTTAAAATATAAGCACAGGCAGTCCATTATTTTAATCTTTATTACATCTGAATGTACAGCAGCTACTCCTGAGGGAAAACACTGCATCTGATGCTCAGCAGAGTGGGTTTAGCTGGGAAACACCGTCCCAACGCTTTGGGAAATGCCCAAATCCCACCACTGGGGGAAACTCCATCCCACCACTGCACACATCAGCAGGGCTCCCAGACACCCCCCAGGGCTCGTTTCTCAGGGCACTCACAGCACAAACACCTCCCCCAGCAGCAGAGTCCTGATTTTGGAAGGGAGCTGCATTCCTCTTACCTCCTGATTCCCACATAAACTGCTGTTTGCATGATTTATACCCCATGGCAGGCAAGGCCCAGGATTCGTGCCCAAAGAAGCCTCTCGTGGATGAGGGATGGATACAGGCAAAGCTGTGGGCCCCCTGTGCCCCCAAAACTTGGCTGGGGGCTGAGCACCTCCCCACCAGGACTCCGTGGTGGATCTGGAGATCCATGCGGGGCCATCACAGGAGAAGAAAGAGCTGCCTGCAAGCAATGCCAGTCCCATCCCATCCCCAAGGTAAGCCTCTGTGGAAAAAGGTACCCGGATAAACCCTCCATGAGAAAAGTGCCTGGTTAGACCCTCCACGAGTCCATTTTTGACTTGTGCATTAAATGAACAGGGAGTGGGTTTGTCAAGTGGAGTTTGGGACAGGCAGGACGTCAAGGCAGAGACAGCACTTGTGAAACCCTCTGGATCAGCCAGGGTGGGCATTGGCTGCAGTGGGATTTTTCCCTTGTTTTGTGGGTTAGTCATAGGTTTGTTTATTTTTTTAGAGGTTGTTGTGGTTTTTTTTTTCTTATTCGTCTGTTGCAATCACAGCAGACGCATCATTTCACAGCCCTACATGGAAATCCAAGGCCAAGGAACTATTTTTAGCGCCCAGGATGTCTCCCCTAAATGTATTAACTTTGGAAGAGTAAATATTAAATATGCTCTCATCACATTAGAGGCGTTTATGCAGAAGTACAACACCAGCGGTTTTAATGGTTAGGGGAAATTATGTTATACCACCAGCACTTAATCAAACACAATAAAACAAGGTCTTACTGCAATTCTTCCAGGATAAGCTGAAGGAAAATTAATTCCTTTCCTCATCCGTGGCTGATGATTTACTGACACTGGGGTGTATTTGCCCCATTAGGATTTATGGTGGCACTTGCAATCCTTATGCAAAACATATAGGGGCCGGCCTAACATTTATTCTGCAATTAAACTGAAATGATTCCTTGGCTGCTCACTCCAGATCGAGGTGCTCAGCACCACCTGTGATGAGGACACTGCAGGCAAACCCCAAGGGAGCAACACAGGGAAACCCTCTGTGCTCCCAGTGCCTATAAATATATGTTATTACTAAGAAGGGCTTTTTCTGCCTTTACTGGGGAATCATTTCTCAGGCTGGGCTGTAGGAGAAGGATGATGTGGTGCTGCTGGTGGAGCCCTGGGGCCCCAGGTCTGTCTGTCCCTGCTCATCATACATCCAGCCAGCCCAGCCCAGACATCTCTGGTCCAACACGGGTGCCAGAGGCAGGGGTGTCCCTTCCCAGGAATTTGGCAAGCTTTTCCATTAGCCTCAAATATTTTGAAGACAAAATCCTTGCCACTTTGTAAGGATGAACATCAGATCTCCAAGGTGTGTCTGGGCTGAGCATCATCCCCTCACACATTCTGGGAGCTGGGGAGGGGGTTGCTGGTTGGGGTCAAACCATGACAGGCAGGCTGACCTCACTCCCTGCTTGATGGAATCAAACTCTTTAGTATCTCCCTGCCTAAGACAGGTGAAAAACTTATTACAGAAGGCAACTCCTGAACTGGCTTTGGACAGGTGGGTCCATGCATGATGCTGTGGGCATCGTGCCTGCACTGTGGAGTTTTGGGGACCAGCCAGGAGTTTGAGTTCATCACTGGGGTGCCTCGAGAGCTGTGAGCAATAACACAACCCAGTAATGAAATCCTTCATTTGCACTGAACTGATTTTTGCCTTTTCCTTTCAGTGACATATGAGCCCATGACAGTTTAAGGTGAGTTTCTTCCCCTCACCCCTCAGAAGACCCATCTCAGATTGATGGGTTTTGTGCTGCCTTCACCAGGCACTGTGATTTCCCTGACTAATCACTTTGCTAATAAATTGCACCAAGTATGTCTATTAAACAGCTCATTTTCCTTCAGCAGCTTGGGCACTTGGACAATTCTACAGAAGAAAAACATGCCAGGAAATGCCAAGAAGGTAGAAAAAAAGAACCATTCTTTGATGACTCCAGTACTTGCTGAAACAAGGCTGCACCCTTGCCTTTGGCCTCCAAGCCAGCCAAGTATTCACAGGAAGATGTGGATCCCATTCAAGTTTTTAAAGCTGTGTGATGAGCCCTGGTGCTCTCACCACGCTCCACAGGTTGGGCCCAGCAACCCCAGCCCACAGCAGCAGAGTCACAGAATGGTTTGGGTTGGAAGGGACCTTAGAGATATTTATTTCCAATCTCCTTCCACAGGCAGGGATGCCACCCACTCGATCAGATTGCTGGTTGGTATCAGCAGGAGCACAAGGAGTGTCTGACAAACAGCAACACATTGCTGGAGTAATTTGGATTTCACAGCTTGCCTTTGCTCCCACGAATAGCAAATCTAGCAGCGTTTTTCCCTGCCTGCTACCCCAGCTCCTGGTGCAAGAAGCTGTTCCTCTGAGCATCCCAGCTCACAGCAGAGCTTTTCCCCTGAGGGTTTTGCTCCAAATCTGCAAAACAAGACTTAAATCTCCAGGAGAAAGGTGGTTACCTCGAATTCGAGAAACTTTCGGGCTTGGGCTTGCCCTTCCAGCTGTGACAAATGTCTCCAGCTGCTTTCTCCAAGGACTGTCTGAGGTCTAGCGATGGAAATGTAAATGGAAATGCAACAGAAGTTGAGGAATTTGCTATTCACAGGCAGAGTGGCTGCACCAGCAGGGCTGACCCAGCATCCCTGGGATGCTCCACGGGCTCTCCTGTCCCTGGGTGAGGTTGCTCTGTGTCACTGGCTCACTCCAACAACACGAGGTACACAGAAAACACTGCTTTATTGACTGCATTTGCCAACACATTGAGGAATGCAAAGGGGTTTTTCATAAGCAATGGGCCATGGTCCCAATGTGTATTAAAGCATACACTGTATCTAAACAGGATGAAAATAATGGCAGACAGAGCTATTCCAAGGCAACACAAATAGCATGCATAATACAGTCTCACACAGAACGAGTTTGATAACATTATATTGCTTTAAGGATTAACTAACATGGAAAATGTACAAAAAGGAGAAATAGGTTTTTGCATTAATGAAAAATACATTTTTTCTCTACAAAGGAATTTCTAATACAAGAAAATAAATATTGCAACATAAGCCAAAAATAATTTAAAATTGCTCTTTTCAATATATTTTCAATAGTTCTCTTTTGTATTAACAAATGGCACATCACGTTCTTTGAAACAAAGAAAACAGAAGGGTTTCTCCTCCTGCGACATTCATATCGTTTCCTGTAACTGATGTGAAGTGGGTTGTTTTGTATGTGGAATGGTGCAAACTGGGGGGGGATTTCCTTAAAGAACAACCAAACCTCACGGCCTGCCCTGCAGCAGCATCATCTTCCTGCATCCTGCATCCCACCCAGCTGTGCTGTGTGTCCCACCTCGGGGCGGGCTCCGTGGGACAGCAGGCATCCTAACCCCAAAAAACAGGTGCAAGTGGAAAAAAAAACCAAAAAAACAAGAAAATGGAAAGGAAAAATAAAACTGAAAGATGGGTGTGGGGAAAATGGGAGTTGTCCTTGGGAAACTCCCACAGCCATCAGGGCTGGGTCTGGTGTGGGGCTGTGCTCCATCAGGGCATGATGCCTTGTGCATCCTCACCTCAACAGCTGCTGCTTCTCCAAGGAAACAGGTGCTCTTACAGTGCAAATGTCGATTCCTGCAGTTTATACATCTTAAAAGACAACATTTCTCTACTAAAATAAACCTTTTTTTTTTTCTGCTTCTTCTTCTTTCTATTCATTTCAAAATACATTTACATTAACATCAAAAATATTTTCCTTGTGCATTTTCTCTCCAGAACACCAGATTCCCCCGCTCCGAGGACGCACCAGGCAGGGGATGCTCTGGGGTGACCACGGCCATCCCACCAACCCCTTTCCTCCTCTCTATTCCCACCATCCCATTCTTCTCCCTTTGCCCCACCAGCCCCCCTCAGCTTTCCCCACCTAAATGATGGCAAAACACGATGCCTGATGCTTTGGGAGTGTTTCAGACTGGTTTATTGCCCGGTGCTGGTGGTGCAGGGTTGGTTGTTCTTTAAAGTGCCCCCCTTTTTGCTTTCCTGTACTGAGAAGACAAGTAGTGCAGAAGCTGATGAATGGAGCTGTGTACAGCGAAATTTGTGGATTGCTTTTTTTTTTAACCATAATTGAGTGAAGCACACGGAAGCAAGATTCATTAAAAGGCAGCATATTGATTATTGTTATGACTCTTATACTAGGATACTGGAGCTAAAGCTAGCAAGCCTGATAAGATAAACTAAGTCCTATTTACTGTATTTAACATTATCCGAACATACTGAGCCTTAATTAATGAGCAGATTTTCATTTCCAACCTCAGTGGATTATGCTAATTTATAACAAAGGTGGTTCCCGTTTTGTTGGTTTTTTGCCGTTTTTTGTTTTGTTTTGTTTTCCTTTTTTTTTTATTTTTTTTCTCCCCTATTTTCCCCCCACTAATAACTTGTGTCACATTTTTCCCACCTGAGGAAGATCCCTCCCCAGGCACGGTCAAGTCTCAGCCGGGTGAGTGTTGGGCGTGGGCAGGGCTGGGCACTCCCACCCGGAGCCGCCGCCGTGCCTGGGATCAGCTGGGCTGCAATTTGACCAACAATAAGGACTTTGGAAGGCTGATTAAAGATGATCTACTCTAAAACACCGATCGGAAGAGTCTCAGAGTTTCAAAAAGAAAGCTCACAGTGAAATGAGCAAAAAGCATCGGAAACCAAAACGGCAGGATGCGGTCTCGGAGCAGCAGCATCCCTCGGAGCAAGCTTGGAACCTAACGCCGCAGCAGTGTGGTATGAGTGTGTCTTTAGTCCTTGGTTGCTAAAATAACTTCCAATTTTTATTTTTTTCATAGTGACAAGTTTCCGGTTTCTGGCTGTGCTGCTTGACTGTCAAAATATTTCTTTGGCATCCACAAAATTCTTTGACTGATTGGTTTGACAATTGCAAGGTTTGTTTGTTTAGTGATGGGTTTAACCGGTTGCAGAAGTGTCCCAGGTTTGGGTTGGTTTTGTTTGTGATTTTTTTTTTTTTTTAGTTTTTTTAACATTTTTTATTTTTAAAAAACAACAACAACAAAAGTTTCAGTGAATTCCTTTTTTTTTTTTTTTTTTGTTCCCTGAGCTCACACTGGGGTCACTCCAATAAAACACGTAGCATGACTTAACTGTGACCTTTGAAGCCAAAACCGAAGTAATGGTGCAATTAAGTGCAAACATGGAAATTCGCCTGACTTATAGGTAACATGGGCTTTTAAACAACATTTAAGGCTTATTGGGGACATTTTATGCATTAAATTATTGTAATATTTATAATGTCAGCTTCTGTGAATCACCCCTCCACAACGAGTCAACAGCTTGTAACCAGGATTTAGGGAATAAAAAAAAACAAACCCAAAGGATGGAGAGGAATAAATTCACCATTTCCACTGTAGCATTTGGTAGGAAAACACAACGGTGATGCCAAGGGTTGCCTTTTCCCCTCGGTGATGGCACGTTTGGCCTCGGGGCCATCGTTTTGGTGTGCAAAGGGGATTGCAAACGTGCCGGCCCGGCATGGTGGGACCACGGGCAGAAAAAGATCGCTCAACTTCCCAGGTTACACCAACCCTGACTCTCCACGGTGGTTTTAAAGGATGCTCTTCTCCTCCACCCTGCCCCACGTTTCCATTTTCCAGCTTGCTGCCAGCTGATCCATGCACCTGAGTAAATCACTTCGGTTTTTCTAACGACCTCAACGGGGGCAGGGATGGGGGCAATAAATTTTGCATCCTGGCCCCTGGACGGATCCCAACCCGATGGAAAGGTGAGGGGAAAAATAAAGACCGAGGGGTGTTTTTCTCTAAAACTAGAAATGCAACATCGCTCTCCTCCACCCCAAGCGTTTTCCTCCAACAAGCTTTTTTGTGCTTTAGTCATTAATTATTTTAGTATCGCTGATTTTGCTTCCTCGTCTCCGCACACACACGGGCGGGAATTTCCCCTCCCACAGCTGGTCACTGCCGGACCCTCTGCTCGCTCCCTGCTCTGAGGGCAACCGTCCCGGGCAGGAACCTGCCCCTCATTAAATAATGCCCGTTAATTGAACTGTCATCCCCTGCAGAAAGCACAGGTACCGGCACCCTCCACCCTCCGGGCACCCTCGGCATCGGTCCTGCCGGGCGCCGGCTCGCGTTCCTGGGGAGCGGGGTCTGGCAGGGAGCCGGGGAGGGACCACTGCTGTCACAGTCATCGATGGCGGTGAAGCTGAAGCTGTATCTCAGGCGTATCGAGAAGAGAAAGACAACAGTGCCGAACTTCCAACTATATACACACATTAAAAACCCCCCTCGCCGTGACACCAGGCAGAAATCGGACATGGCAGTTGGAACTGGGTTGAAGAGGCCTCGAGGAGCCGGCGCGGCGGCGGGAGGAGTTAGGACGCCAGGATGCTCATCCTGACGATGTCCTCGCCGGCCGCGTCCAGCTGGCCCCGCTGGGCCCGGCCGCCGCGGGGCTCCCCGTCCGAGTCGCTCATCTCGGCGTCGGAGAAGTAGCCGTCCGTGTCGGCGTCGAAGCGACGCAGGGGAGCTCCGCCGGCGCCCTCGGGCTTGGGGGGCTGCGAGCGCCGCGCCCCCCGGCTCTCCTTTGGTAATTTGAACCGCACGATGGTTTTGGGGCTACCTACGGAGTCAGGCACTTTGGCCGCGGGGCTGGGCTCGGGCTGAGCGCAGCGCGGCGTCCTCCTCCTCCTCCTCCTCCTCCTCCTCCCTGCTGACGCAGCCCCGTGTCCCGGCAGGGGGGTGAGGCTCGCTGGCTTTCTGGAGAGAGCCCTTCTTGGCCGCCCTTTTGGCCTCGCCCGTCCCTCTGCGGTCGCTGGGAAGCTTCGCCGCCCCTTTCTCCGACTTGCTCGGCCTGGAATCCAGAGCGAAGGGCTTGGCGGGATCATCCGACAAGCTGCTGGCGTTGTTAGTCCAGGGCTCCGAGCCCTCCGGGTGGCCCCCGCCCACGGCGGGGGGGCTGCTCCTCGGCAGCTTTTTCTTAGTGTTCGTTCTCGTTCTGCTTTTCACTTTCTTTGTGGCCTCGCTCTGCCTGAACGGGGACCGGAGGGAATGGTCCATCATGAAGCTCAGCAAGGTCTCCTCGTCCTGGAGGAGCTCCTCGGAGAGGCCGGGGGTGCTGTCCTCGTGGTGGGCGTTGTTGAGGGACCACTCGCTCATGGCCATGTTCTCCGCGGTGATCTGCACCGACTGCGCCAGCCAGCTGTTGAAGAAGGTCCCGTCGATGGGGAAGGAGGTTGACAAGCCTGGAAAAAAAACAAGAATGGAAGATCTGCCTCAGAAGCCAGGGACGGCCACGCTGTCCTCCACCACCACCAACAACTTCACTGAAACTCCCCGGCACCAGAGGAACTCTCAAAAGGTCAACTCTAACACAGCACACCAGGACAGAGGAGGGTTTACTCCAGCACTGATGCTGAGCTTGGGGTTCAATGAGGTCACAGCACGACAACCTGAGTTGTCCCTCACATACAACACTCCATGAACCTCCCCGAATCCAAATCAAGCATCTTTCTTCAGCGAAGATGTCAAGCAATGACCCACCCCAGCATGGGGGCAAATACATTCTCCTGCAAAGGTGGCAGACAAACAATCCAAGCATATGCTGAAAAATTTGGTGACAGAGCAGGATTTGTGCTCAGGCAGTACATGCCATGAGGACTCCCAGCCCATGTGCTGTGCTCGCCGTCGCTGCACAGCAGGGAGGGCACGGGGGAGCAGCCCTACCCCGGGCTGGGTAAGTCTGATTTTATCCCCCAAAAGTGAAATTCACACTCCAGGAGCACATCATAGGTTTTGTAACGCGTTCTCCCAATCCTGGGGCCACAGGGGGGATTTTACACCCCCTGCCCCACTGGGGACCGCATTTCGGATCCAGTCTCTCTCACAGGACCTGGATAATTCAGGCTGATTTCCACAAGGGAGAGGTGGAAGGTGTAACTCCAGCGTGTATGTGCAGGAGGGATCAGGGGCTGGGACTCTTCAACCCTGCTCCCCCAAGCAGGGAGTCTCCAGCAGCACGGGGCAGCTCCACGCCCATAAAATCAGACTTACCCAGTTGTCCCAATACAGTTTCGTTGACTGATTTCCTTTTCTCTGTCTTCTCAGGACTATTTTTTCTACCATCTCTTCCTTTCCTTCTCGGGTCACTTTTCTTACCCTTTGTCCTCTTCCCAGTTTGTTCTGGCATGTTTTAGGAGAGAAAGGAGAACGCTGTGTGAGACGAGGCACTGGGGACGCTGCAGTGAACAAGTTCCCCTGGGGACACCCCACAGTGGAGACCTGGAGCAGACCTGCAAGCAACTCCAGCACAGAGGGGGAGCAACAGCCACTTTCTGGAGAGCTGCAGGCTCTGCTCTATGTATTTTAAGAAAATATGAATCCTGCAGGTTATATAAAAAAGAGGTTTGGGCGTTGGAGAGGAGCTTAGCGAGGCCACAGGAGCAGCCCCACTGAAGGCAGGGGACTCGCTGGAGACCCTGCAGACCCCTGGACCCAGGGCTTTGGGGTGAGGACTCACAGAGGAGTAACCCCAAATCCTGCTTGGACACCTGCCAGGAGGCTGATCTTGATTCCATTTGACCTTTCAGCAACAGCAGCTGCTCCCACTCAAACTGTGCAGGGGTGATAAAAAACCCCAAATGACAGAAGTACATGAAGTGGGAAAGATGACCAGGATAGTCCATGGAAAGGCAGGGATCAAACTCTTAGCTACACAGACATTCACCTAAAAATCAGCATTTCCTAAATGGCTTTGAACCCCTGCTGGATTTATTCCTCCTGGGTAAACAGGACAAATGCCCTAAAAAGTACAACCTGCATTGCCAAGTAAAATACTTACAACAGTTTTTACTTACTCCATTAGGTCAATGTCCCCCAGAAGTCCATGCTAAGAGTTCTATTAATTTTCAGAGGGGGAAGGATATTGCCCTTAAACCAAAATGTGGGTGGCTGATAGAAGTGGAGGCGAGACAGGCAGTTTTTCAGAGTCTGGCCCATAGGCTGAGCAATGATTTTAAGGGAGAAATGGGCTTATTGTGTCAGCCAGCAGCAAATCCTCACCAGACTTGGCAGAGAGGCCAAGGAGTGGCTGGGTCAGAGGGAGTAACCCCAGCTCCCCCCTGGCTGTGGCAGTGGAAATGTACTGGGTGAGCCGGGGAGGGAATCTGCATTGCACCTGCCTGATTACAGAGGATTTACAGCCCTGGGGGCTGCCAAGCCAGGAACCCCTCCTGACCCGAGGACTTGCAGGAAGAAAGAAAAGCAAAGGCAAAACTGGTGTTTGCCGCGTTCCTGCCAAGGAACGGGAGGAAGGCAGACACATTTTTCACTTCGCTTACAAAATCAAAATCTTAACTTTGTTTAGACAGCACAACGGGGCTGAAGAGAAACCCGAGCAGCACTTTCTGAGGAGGAACCTGTCAAAATAGTAGCCGTGTTTCAAAGCCAGACACTGTTTACTTTTCACTCCGTGCAAGAAAAATACAGGGAGGAGAGGAGGGTTCATTTTACACGGGCAGTTCTCACTGATTTTATTAAGAATCTCCTGCTTAAATGATCATTTGACAGCGGGAAAAATAAACCCCTCCTGTTCTGAGTTTTGTGTGGGAGCCAGTCCAAAAAAACCTTTGTGCCAAAACCATCTTTGGAAGGACCCCAGCAGATCTCTGTCGATGGCTACTGTAACAGCAGTTAAAAACTGGCCTCATCCGGGTGGAATAACGGGGACTTCTTCCTTTCTCCAAGGAACCCCAGGTAAGGAGAGCAGCCCTGTTGGGAGCTGTGGTGGGGGATGGAACCATCCCCTGCTTCCAGACCACTAAGTACTTTGTAATGCTGGAAAATTCAGCAGTGAGTTATCCAGAGCTTTGGTCCCACGGGGTGCTGAGTATCTGCAGCTCTAGGCCCCATCACCTGGCAAGGGAGCTCCTCCCAGGCTCAGGAGACTCCATGGGCTGACAACAAAAGGCATTCAGGTCCCTAATGTGCCCCTGGCACAGCAAGGACCCACATGCCCAAACCACCCAGAGATTCCAGGACCAAATCCCTGCAGCTGGGCCCTTTCTATGGCAGCAGCAACTCCTGGGAGCTGGGTCCCAGAGGGAGCAGTCAGTCCCTGCTCAGGCTCAACCAGAAAGTCCATCCCAGGAGAGACAAGCAGCTCATCCCAGTCGGTTCAGAGTGGAAAATGAATGGGCAAACACCAGCCAGGTGGGGCAGGGGAGAAGAGCATCTGCATCCCAGGGTCTGAAGGGATCCCTGCACATCAGTCCCCAGCTGGGCCACCCTCTCAGCTGGGGGTTTGTCTCTGATCACTCACCTTTGGGCAGAACAAACACCATGGGAACAGCAGCCGTGCTTTTCCTCAAGTACACATAACATTTTGGGCAAAGGCAATTGCACAGCACTGGCACTGGGCAGGGCAGACAACCCTGAAACACCATCAGAAGAGCCCCAACACAGCTCCCCATCACTGGTTGGCACCTACACCCCACTGGCAAGGCCCTGGCTCAGCTCTCCCTGGGAGTATTTGCCAGCTCCTACCCCATCACTGCATTGGAGAGGCCCAGGCATGCACTGGTGGTCAGGTTGCCCAAGGCATTTTGGGGAACACAGGCCCCCATGGGGCATTTCCAGCTATCTAACACCTTGTTTGCAAGGGAGGTGAGCTCAAAAACCCTTCCTGGCACACTACCCTGCGCCTGTCTCCTCCTGAGAGCTGCAAATGATGAACTGGGTTCACCCAGCTGAACATCCCAAGGACCCCTGTGATCCCCCTGAAAGCCAGAGAACCCAGCAGCACACAGCATGGCACCTGCCCTCAGGATCTGAGCTTGTTCTTCTTGTCTTCTCTCTGTATTCCTGAGCTGGACCTCCCACCCCACCTCATCACTGCCGGGAGCACCACCCGGCACAGATATCCTGGGTGACAGGGAATGGATGTGCAATGCTGGGAATGGCTGGGAATGCCATTTTCCGTGTGCTCAGGTTGGTTCAGTGAGGATGCAGAGCAACACACAGCATCACAGGGACCGGGATTTACAGGTCCCACATCTCCCTGGAGCAAACCCTGGGGTCCAGCCACCCCTGTCCCCATCGCTGCCTGGCTCTGGCCATCCCGAGGAATTCGCATGGGCCTGAGTCACAAACATCCCAACACACACATTCCTCAGCCTCCAAAACTTCAGTGAAAAGAGACTTTTGTCAAGGAGAGCTCAGCCCAGACGGTTCCCGAAGAAACCCCAGCCATGTGACGGTTTCAAACACAACTCCAAAGCCACAAACACAACAACCGTCGGAAGCGGCTGCCAAAGCGCCAGATGCTGCTGCTGGAAAAACTGCTCTGCAGCCATGGGGTCTGCTCTGCCCTGCCACCAAAGGGAAAGGAGGGGAAGGAGGAGGGAGCAGGAGCTGTGGGCTCCGGCACCGCTTGTGCAAAAGGGAAAAACAAAGTAGGACAAAAGGAAACCCAACTTTATTTCGGTTCCTCAATAAAAGCTGCCAGAGGCTTTGCATGCAGCAGCGTGATCTCCGCTAATGGGAACGTGGAGCAGAGAGCTGCAGCCCTCCAGAGCCTAAGGAGCTGGTCTCCTGGAGCAACAGACCCCCCACCAGCAGCTTAACCCCTGATTCCTGACAGAGCCAAAGGCAAATGCAAAGAGCTGTGCCAGGGAAGCAGCTGCCACAGACCAGCCCTGGGCAGGACCTGCCACCTCCTCCCAAACTGCTCCAGCTCCACGAAAGGCACCAAACACTGCCTCAGCATCCCCACCTCAGCAAATGCCTGGTCTTTCTGACTGATTCCCAGGGAGAGGAGGATCAGGAGGGGTCTGTCAATGGTCATCCAGAGGGGCAGCTCTGGCTTCCTTGGGGTTGGGGGCTTGGGCATCCAACTTTGGCTTCAGAGGATGGCAGGGACAGTGGCTGCAAGACCAAGCTCTGGGAAGCAGTACTGACCTGGGTAGAGATCCTTCTCTATGAGCTTCATCTGGAGATGGAAGATCTGCTCCTGCAGCTTACAAATGGTGTGTTTCATTTTCTCCCGTCTCGTCACCATGTAACAGAGATTTCTTACCTGCAGAAACACAAGAAACAGTGTCTGGTTTAGGCAGGGTCAAAACAGGTCCCCTCAAGTGGTGTTGCTGCTTCTGCTGCCCAGGGAAATCCCCACTCCCTGGGATTGGGTCCTCTTCACCTCACCATCATCTGCGTTCCACCACAACTCCTGCCAGGGCCCTTTGGGTGAGCCAGGACTAGCACTGAGGCCTCCTGATCCCAGCTGTGTAATACATATGGGAAAAAGCATGTGGTGAATGATTCCAAGCCTAAACCTCCCTGTTGTGGCTCAGTGGGGGCAAGGAAGGCTGGCTGGCTTCTCCAGCACGGACACTGGGAAGTCCCAGAGGGAAGGTGCCGTAGAAGGAGCACTGTAACACAGTTCTGCAGGTCCAGCCCACCCAGCAGCTGTGCCATGCACAGCCCTGGCACATTCACCTGCACAAAAAATGCCACGTGCTGAGAGGCACCTTGGTACCCTGAGTCAATCCACCAGTTCTCACCCACGAACTGATCCTTCTGCAGGGAGGGAGAGACCCTCTTCCCACAGACAGTGCAGAGAAGGGGCAGAGCTGGGGTGGAGGTGTCTGTACGAGGCTAAGGGCACTGAAGGCCTTATACAGCTGCCTGATGTCCTAAAGCAGGGACCAGGACAAAGCACAAAAAATACAGCAAAATACCCCAGTGATGCTGGCCCAGGCCAGCAGCCAGTGCAGCTCCCTACCTCAAATCTGCCCCCTCTATTTGGTTACTCACCCTTGCTCCACATCTACCTGCAAAATCCCTGCTTCATTTCGTCCCAGCCCAAGAAATTTCCCTCACCACGGTGCTGGGGTTGGAACCAGGTGATCTTTAAGGTCCCTTCCAACCCAACCCAACCAACCCAACCCACTCTGCGATTCTGTGAAGCTCTAAACTCAACCAGCAAAGCACAGGATGCAAACTGTTCACATGCAGTGGTGGCTCAACCCTGCTCATCACAGGGGGCTGCTGATGAACACCCCAGCACCATGAGATGACAGGGCTACTGCTGATACCTGCTGGCACCTGCCTCCTGACGGGTTTCATGCCATGCCTTTGCCAGCCCCACGCAGGGGTGGCTGCAGAGCCAGGCTCTGGCAGCACTGAGGCTCTGGGAGGAAGTGGAGGCTCTTGGCTGCAGAACAGAAATGCTGATGGCAGCTAACAGGATTTGACAGCATTTACTCAGCTTTCTGATGCTCTGAAAGAGCAGAGCTGCCTGTAATAAGGTAAGGAGGAGGTGGCCTGAATGGGGGCATGGGATTCACGGGCAGGAACGCGTGTGGGTATGTCCACACTCATGTGTGATCCTGATGCCTTCAATTCCTCCCCCCTCTCATCTTCAAACCCCTCTCTGCAGAGTATTGTCAGGCCTGGGGGACTGTCCCTGCGTGGTCAGGAGGCTTTGTGCCTCTCACAGTGACACAGCAAGCCAGGACATTGTCCTGTGCTTACCTGGTATCTGCCCCCAAAAGCTGTGAGGGCAAAAGGACAACTGCAGCCATCCTTTAATGACATTGGTCCTGCCTAAGGATAATTTGGGAATGCTTAGGGATACAGGAGAAAAAGCTGCTCTTTTTTTTGTTGTTAAATCCCCCAGCTGTAAATACAAGGCAGTGAGCTATACAGTGTATTTTACTATGTTATCTCTTTTTTTTCATTCTGGATTGGAGAAAACATCAAACTGAAATTTCTTTATGAAGAAAACAACTGCCTCTGGCAACCTGAATCTCCAAGTGTTTGGTGGTATCTCTTCCCTATGATTTGATATTCCTGGAAGAAAACATTCCTTTAGCTTTGCTTAGAGACTGCTGGTATTTACCCACACTTACACAGCTCAACACCACCCAGTGCTGCTTCCCCAAGCCAAGCTTAGATGCTGGTGTGAAAGCCTGGAAAACTACAGCTTTTTGTTCAAGTTAATTTAAACACCCAGCCCTCGGGGAAAAAGCTTTAAAAAAAGGCAAAGAGGGTTAAAAAAGGCCAGGAAGAAAACTGGGGGAATGTTATTAGGATTCCCAGGCAACAGGTTAAATTTTCTGACACTGTGAAGTGCAGAAACGACAGGGGGTAAGAAATGGCAGAGGGAAACACCATCACCCTGGATGTCCCCATGGCATCTGCTCTGCCGCTTCTGCCTCCCCAGCTCCTGAATCCAGAGACCACTATCAGCCCTGAAATCACTCCCATTTCCATGATTAATTGCTGAAAACACTAAAATCCAACTTGATGCCCCCATGGACACCCTCTGAAAGCCACCCCTGCAGGCTGCTTGTCTCCAATCCCAACCTGACTTGATTCCTCACGGTTTGTACGTGAAGCCAGGCAGGATCAGACACCTGGGATGCACTGGAAACAGCTGGATCTAAACCTACATCACCCATACGAGCACTGGACTTTGATCCAGCTGGTGTTTATTGTTCCTCTCTTGGAAGCAGAACAAACAGCTCTTCCACGGCCAGGCGGTGAAACCTGGCAGGGAGTTGCTAAGCAGAGGCTGAACGCCGATGGGCACACCCCCCAGAGCCTGGAGGCACCTCTGGAAAACGGGAAACCCGGTAAAACACTGAGTTTTGACACAAAGAAATCAAAGAGGAGCTGCTGTGAGCGAAGCGTGGTACCCAGGGATGCACAGTGTGGTTCGCTGCAGCTGGGGAGGCAAGCTGGGAACAAGGGGAAGCAGGGGGAGGCAGAGTAGCCTGGGTTAGATTTACCGATGTGGAGCAGATGAGGGGAGAAAGGGAGTTGAACTCGTCACCCTCGGATGGGCAGCTGCAGCCTTGTTGCCATAGCCTGGTGATGGAGACCTGCTAAGGGTGGCAGCCCCACACAGAGGGGGAAAGGCAGGAACAAAGGAGGGACAGACTGGCAGAGTGATGGCACCAATGACTACAGGGATGAAGGCAGACAGGACCACAGAGAAGAGATTAATAGCTTCAGATCCAACTGCTTTTACACAGGAGAAGGCCCTCGAGCTCCAGGATGCACTGGGAGGTGGGTGCAGGAAGGAACCAGGGTGGGCTGGTCCAGAGCTGAAACCCCACCTGGACATGAATGCAGTGCCCACCCACACCACCTTTCTACCCATGGGTTAAATTCTGCCACAGACCCTCAGCAGCTTGGAGAGAGGGTTCAGGGACATGCAGGGGCAGCATTCCCACCCATCCTCCACCTCCCAGGGAGCAGCAGCAACCCCAGCCCCCTGCTCAGGGAGCCACAGCCACATCCACTGAGTCAAAGCAATGCTATTTTCCTGCTTTCCTCCTTCCTTGCTCTCAGAGACACCCTGAACCCTTCCATGGCCCTTGCACCCTGAGTGGGCAGTCAGGCAGGGACCTGAGCAAGGGCCATGGATTCAGCTCTCTGGCAGGAGGAGAGGGGGGACCAGGCAGGGCTTGGGTCTTAAGCAGAGGAGGAGAGGGAGCTTGGGCTCTGCATGCCAGGCTGAGCATCCCTGCCCTGCCTGTCCCTGTGCCACTGCTCCCCTGTGCTATGCCCACATGCTCCCCAGCAGCACCACTACTGTACCTGCCCCTTCTCTGCCACCTCACTCCAGGTTCTGTGTGTGCTTCTCCCCCTCTGCTTCTTCCCCTCGCTGCCTCTCACCTTGGCTGCCACTCCTCACCTCCAGCCTGCCTCTTCCCCATCCCTGCCTGCCTCTTCCCCCTCCCTGCCTGCCTCTTCCCCCTCCCTGCCTGCCTCTTCCTCATCCCTGCTCCTGCCCTCCACACAAGCAGCCTGGGTGGGGGTGTCCACAGGGCATCACATCATTTTTAGTGTCTTCAGCAATTAATCTGGTGGAGGTGGTTGTGATTTTGGGGCTGACAGTGGTGCAGCCATGACAGCCACGTGCACAGAGAGCAGCAGGGAGCAAGCCCAGCCCGGGGAGCTCCGGCACCACTTGAGCACTGCTGCTCCACCAATGCCCTCAGCCAAAAAGCTGCTCCCTTCCCCTGTGGATGGGAGGATTCAAGGATGCCCTGCACCACGGGGACCTGCAGCTGCCTGCATGCTCTGTCTGCATCCTCTGGCACGGCTCTGCCTCCGCCAGCAGCTCCCTGAGGAGCCGACCCACTTTCGGCTGCGGCAGGGCAGGGAATGCCCAGTCCCACTGGCCCTGCTCTCACTCCTGCCTTTCACACGTCTTGGATGCTTAATGGAAGTAAATAATGACATGTTCCCGTGCCTTGCTGCTGGAAAGCATCTGAGAGGCAGCACAGGGTAATTTTGAGCTTTCAGACTATTTAGACATAGTGGACACAAACTGCAGCATCATCTGCCTCCCATCCACCCCGCCCTGCCGAGGCACTCTCCCTGCACACATTTGTTATTCTGAACCCCCAGCTGAGACCAACACTGACTCACTCCATCAGTGTCAGTGTTTTGGCAGGGGTGATGTACACACACTGAGCACTGTTACGTTTCTGAATGAAGATGAAAGGACACAGCTTTTAAGGGGTCAGACTGAGCCGGGGCGGGGAACAGGGTTTGTGCTGCCCACAGTCCCCAGCACACACTGCAGCAGCCCTGATGGAGCACGTGGGGTACAGACTGAAGGAAAGGCTGTACTCACCCTCTCCAGGTCTTGCCTGAGGTGCATGAAGAGCTTTAGGCGTCGGTAGAGAACATCCTGCTCCTGCTGAGCCAAGTTGTCCACTTCGTCCGTTTTTGGTGTCAGCAGCGGTTTGTTGGAATTTGCTTTCCTCTTCAGCTTCCAGTACTGGTAGACAAAATCCACCAGCGATTCGCTCAGGTCGAGGTTCTCCGCCACCTCCGAGGGCTTCACGAGCTCATAGAAGTCCTCCTCCAGCTGCTGGAGCTTCTGCTTCCGCAGCGTCACCTTCTCCAAGTCCAGCTGGGCTTGGTCGGGCTCTGTCCGTGCCTCCTCGGGCAGTTTGGTGGCACCGCTGCTGTGCTCGAGGCAGAAGGACTTGAACTTCACCTCGTCGTTGTCTGCCAGGATGGTCCGCATGTCCAGGTTGTGGTCGAAGGCGCAGGTGACGTGGAACGCGGTGACGCAGGCGGGCATGGAGCACTGCGGGGCAGGGACAGGGCTCAGGGACAGGCAGAGCACCGGGGGTGGGGGGAGGACACCGACCAACCCAATGGGCAGCCCATGAACCCGGGAGAGCCACCTGGGTGAGCCCTGCCCACGTGACGGGTGCTCCGTGACACCCGCGCTGCCCCAGCCCTGCACGCCCAAAAGCTCAGAAACTCAAGCAGAACCCCAGGGTTCAAAAGGCATCAGTGGGCACCTTCCCACCTCACCCTCCTTTAATCCTTCCCCGTGACAGGCCCTGCTCATCTCCCACCTGCCACAACCAGGAGCTTCCCAAGACACGTCAAAAGCCAAAGAACAGCATCAGCCTATGGGACGCTCTGAGAACGTCAATTTGTCTCTCCTGATGGAGAAATGCTCATCTTTATTTCACCCTCAAGCTACCCCCCCCTCTGTTACCACCATTAAAGCCAACATGCCATTTTCATTGGAAGCACAGAGAACATGGCAAGGTTTATTTGTGCACATGGGATCTAAGCAGCAGCCAATGCTCCCAAATGCCTTCCTCCTCTGGAAATTATACACTCTAACTAGCTCCATTTAAAAAAAGAAAGAACAAAAAGGCAACCAGAGCAAAACACGTGGCTAGAATGTTGTCAGACTTGTATCAGATTAATTTTTTAACCATTTCCCTAACTTACCTCAGGCTTAAAATACTTTGAATCCTACGGGCAACAAACATCAGACTCTCCTACAGAGGAACTCCCACCCATCAGCACTGTGCCCCTGTCCACCTCAGCACCTTCCCTCTCTCTATTCATTAACTGGTTTTTAATGGCTCAGAGTGTCAGGTAATTATTTCAACCATAACCCATAAGAAATCAGTCTATTCCAGCTGCTAACGACCAGTTAAACTGCAATAATGAGACATTTTAAGTGGGCTATTAACTGTAGGCACCATTTGGAGTTAACAGAGGAACTGTTCTTGTTCAGGATGAAGATGCTCTCGTGGCCTGAAGGACCAGGTGGAGGCACGTGAAATTTCCTGGATGTTGATGACAAACCACTCACTTTTACTGCACCTTAATTCTCAAAAAGAAAACCAAATATACTCTGGTAGTAACTGAGGAACAAAATTTTAATCTTCATCCCATCCATCAGGCCTGAATCCTGCTCAGGAATCCAGGTGTGAACTTTTGACATTGCTGCTTTTAGATATTTTCCTTTGGTTTTTTTTAATGAATCTGCTGGTGCTCACACAGCTGCCAGGGCCAAGAAAAGCACAGGCAAGCATTGTCCAAGTCCTCCACTTCCAGGGCTCTCCAGGCCCTGTTCCAAAGCCTCCAAGACCAGTGGGAAGAGCTGGATGCAGCTCTGGCTGTACCAGCACGGCTCCAGGCAGTGATGCTGAGCACTAACTCCCCCAGGCACCACACAAAAGTGGATTATGAACTCTGACACCCTGTTAAATATGGCCATTTGGTCCTAATTTCAGTCTGAAATCATTCACAAAAACAGCTGATAACTTGCAAAGCTCAGCTCCCCCTGCCATGCTGCTGGTGCTTGCGTGGAGCCTGGCACTGTGAGGGACCCACTGGTGCTCCCGTGCCAGCCTGGGGCACCCACCACCCCAGCAGGCAGTGGGGGCCTGGCCTGCCACCCTGCCCATCCCATGGGACAAGCCCTGTCCCAGCCTCCCACACGGCTGAAGCACTGGCTCCGTTCTCCACTATTTATTTTTGGCAATGAGGGAGGGACAGAGGGAGCCCAGCCTGACTTGCAGCTTCCAGATTTACTCAGGGCAGTCAGTATATCACCCACTGGCTTTTGAAGCACACAGAGTGATGTCCCTTCCCTCCTGTTTCTGCCACCAGTGCTAAAAACAGCATTAACAAGATGGCTGTGTCTTCTGCCAGGACAACGTCCTGCTGACAGGAATGACCATCACTCCACCTTAGGAATAAAGCAAATCCAGTGACGCCCGCCCTGGATCTCTCCTCTGACAGATGGCAGGCAGCACTCGTCAGAAACTGTGCCCAAAATGCAAACAGAAAATAATTAGGCAGCTCAGCTGACAGGGCAACAAAGAAAGGTACCTGGTCAGCCACAGCTACTGAAGGACCTTGGATAAACTAAGGATAAAAACATATTGATCCCTCCCAGAATGGCGCTGGAATGAAGCCACTCGTGATGGCAGGGAGGGATCTGCCACCCAGAATAACCCAGGCTCAAAAACTGGCTTCGTTATTGATCGTGCTTCGTTATCTCACAGCGCCTTCCATTCAAGGGTTTCAGCATGCTTTGCTTATCCAGGCAAATCCATTCCCAAACACAATTCCAAGAGAGAGAGAGAGAGGGTGAAAACTGCCCCAGAGATGAACGTGGGCTGTTAATTAGCCCGCAAATCACTCTTCCTGGGAAGAAACAGAGGGATGGTTTTAGTTGCCAAGGAAATTCAAACAGAAGTTCAGCAGCTTGCAGTGGTGCTCCACTGCAGCCTGGGACCGGAGGGGAAGGAAGCGGCTCCTCCAAGAGACCTGTGAGGGGAGCTCAGGAAGGAAAAATTAATTACCGGTGCTGAACGCCGGCCAAGCCATCAGAGACAACACTTCTGCATCCTTACAGAGCTACCACGTGGTTCTCTGTGACCACAGATGGTCTGGACGCCGGCAGAGCTTCTCAGCCGAGACAGGCAGTGTCAGCCCCCCAGACACCCCCGAGGATGGGGGGCAGCACGGGGCACACACACTGCCCTTCCCCTCCTGACACCCTGTGCCTTGCCAGGGCTACAGGCACAACCACGAGACAGCTTCGGGAACCACCACACCAGTTATCCCAGGGGAGGGGGACCAGGGGCACAAGCAGCTCGAGGGGAGCGGGCAGCAGCGGGCAGAGGAGCAACGATGGACAAGCGAGTGGTGGAGGACATTTCCAACGGCTTTTCCTCCAAAAAACAACAAAAGGTAAGCTGGAAGATGATGGTAGCAGAAGACTGTGCCCTTTGGAGAAGCCTGCCAGCAACTAACAGAGCCCTGGCATTCCATGCTGCCTCAGTTACCTCTTCCTGTCTCTCTGACAAGTGAGGAGGAGGGAGCTGGGTCCCAAAAAAGCATGGTCAGGACTCGGGCTGCACCAGAGCCCGGCTCCTGGCACTCTCCTTTCCACCTCAGCAATGCAAACAAGAAAATTCCTGCTGCATACTGAGCTCTCTGGCATCTCCTGATGTCTGACCACAAGAACCACCATGAAATAATGACTTCCCCTGAGCAGGAGCTAGGGAAAGGCCGTCTCCAGGACTGCATCCCTGCAGCATCCGGGAGCTCTGGCTCAGCTACAGCCACACCAAATTACACTGGGCTCACAGCTCTGTACCAGGAAGCAAGGGATGAGTTACATGCAATCAGCAAGGGCAGAGGCGTTGAGAGCAGTGGGGAGCCCTTCCTCAGGCTGCCCTGGGTTTGTTTCCCTTCTGATGGACAAATTCGGATGGGGACAAACACCTCCACACACAGAGGTGCCCGTGCAAAGGTTTCTCACATTTATCTTTGCAAATGTGGTTTAGGTGGGTGTTTTCTTCAGCTGTGGTGCCGCCTCTGAGCATCCCATGCCCTGCTGGGATGACAGTCTCCCGCCTCCTGGATTCCACCATTGCAAAACCCACTTGGAAAACTCCCTCCTGGAAGCACCGTCCTTCCTTCCCCAGACCTGCCCACCTGCAGCACCTGATTCCTGCTGCCAAGAATAAACACCCACTGCTTTTGCAGAAAACAACCCCTCCTTTCAGAGCTGGGTCACAAACCCGAAATGCTGACAAAGGTGGATCACACCTGCACAAACAGGCACCAGCACAAAATATGCTCCATAAACACAAGCTTTCAAAACAGAGCTCTGTACCACTGAAGAGTACAGAGCATATTTATTTGTCTATGGGTGCTGATTTACCCTATAAATCCTTAAATAAGGGCACTGCCTGCTTTCTTTTCACTTCTCCCCCTTTCCCTTGAAGCAAAACCATCCTGCACACGCCAGGGTGGCCTCAGCAAGCGCTCCAGTGACAATTTCACCAGGACTTATAAACTGTGAACTGCTGGCACATGAGACAAGAAGGCTCCTGTTCCATCATCTCAGGTGACCTTTAATGCAAATCCACCCAGTCCCCGGGATCTCACGGCTCCCATGTCATGCTGGCACTAAGAGGATGAAGCCTGAGAGACGCTGAATTCTTTTTGATGCTGCCAAGCCTGTTTGCCTCCTTCCCTGCCCCTCTGTTCTTTGAAAGCAGTTGCCATTCTGACACACTATCTCCATCTGGCAGGGTGAATAAGCACCCAGAGCCATCAAAAAAGAAGTGACTCAGTGCTACAGATTTAAAGAAGTATTGTGAAATTTCGTTTCAAACTATGGGGATTACTTTTAAACAGCTCCCTTTAAAGGCTTAAACCCAAGACGATGGCATAAACACAGTGGAGCCTGCAGACCTCCTATCCCTGCTGTCCTTCTGCAAACAGGCAGCTGCTTCTGGTCCCCCATCATCACCACTGTGTACACCAACCTCCCTGGTGCAGCTCATGCTGCTGTACCAGAGCTGATCCCCTGGGATTGCTGCACATCCCAAACTTTCTCTCCATTTTTCAAAGCCTAATGGCTCTTCCATTTCCCCCTGCATGCCAAGGCTGCTCCAGTACCTGCTCTGCCAATGGAAGCAACCGGTACAGTAGAGCAGCAGACGCTCCAGCCCATCCCCAGGGATCACCAGGACATCACACTGGCCAAGCAGGGGGAAGGAGGGGGAATCCCGGGGTTCAGCAAGGCTCCCCAGATGCTCTCACACCAGGTGTGCTGCATTTTGGATGGGAGCTTCTACTCTTTGCTCCCCAGGTAGAGGGATCACAGGGTGGGAAGCTCTGTCCCACTTTTGCAACAGAAAGCCCAGAGCATCCTGCTTTCCATCTGAAAAGAGAATGTTTGTCCCTCCTGCTGCAAGGAGGGCAGGTAATCAGCAGTACTGCATCTCTGCAGTAGTTTGGTTAGGTGTGGCAAAACAGAAAATGTGGAAATGCAATACATACTTTATCTTCCAAGCCAGCACAGTAGTGAGGACCCTCCAAGCCTGGGGTTCCCTGATACCCCCCCAGCTGAAACCCCAAGTGTTTGTGAAATACTTGAGCTATGTATCTCATGAGCAGCTCACTTTCCTGGTAGCTTCACGAAGCTCTTCTGCTGGAAATTCCTGATCCAAACCCAGGTCATTTGCAGTCCCAGTAATTAGTGTCACTACAGCAACATCACCGTGTAATGCAAAGAAAGTTAATCTAGATTTCTAGCACTCAGTGCATTAGATTGCAAACAACATCTGATGATGCCTGATCTGATGTTGTTAGGTTTACTCAGAGCACAAATAAGCCTTGGCCAGACTGTCCTCCAGCACCTCCAGAACTTCCAGTGGCTGATACAGGTACAACCCTGGAGGTCTGAGTGTCTTCAGTGCCAAGCTACATACCTGAATACATGTCCCAGTGCACTCCTTGCAGAGGCTGCAGGACAAAGCCCATCTGCTTGCTGGGATATGTGAGATCTTCGTAATGGGTTCCATTTTTTCAGGACATCCAATGCTAACCTGGCCACGAGACAGAAGACAAGTTGTAAATACTGGCCACCATCCCACACCTCCTACAAGGGGGTGTCTGTGGCAGTCTGAATGAGGGATGGATTACATTTATTACTTTTGGGGGTCAGTTGCAATTTTGATTAAAAAAAAACCCAAAGCCACATCTGGATGAAACAGGAGGAAAAATATATGTTGGTGTTTCCTCTGAATTAATTCCTCCTGTGGATGTTGGTTTGTATCTCAAATGGGCACAGGAAATTAGCTTTACTCTGCTACACAGAGCTCTGCCCCCCAGCTCTGTGCCCCTGCACCCCAGCTCTGTGCCCTCCCTTCACAGGGTGCCCCTTGGCTGCTAATTAAACACACGGCCTGATGACTGCCTCGCATCGCTCTGGCACAGCTTAATGAGCCAACCTGGGCTTGCTATTTAGACCACTAATGAATGGTCTGGGCCGAGACCTGAAGCCAGGTCTGTGCCCAGCCACGTGTCACGAGGAGGCTGCAAAACATCTTACTTCAGGAATCCATAAGGCACAGCTAACGTGGACCCATTTCGTCCCGCTCCGCGTGGGCTTCAGCGCTCCCCCTCTCTTGGGGCACAGCAGACACTTGGGCTGAACTCCCAGGGCACAGGTCCGGCACAGCCAGCTCCCGATGGGGACCTTCAGGATGCCGTAGCACGCCTGTGCAGACAGCAGGGAGGAGGGTTAGTCCCAGCAGCCAGGATGAGCATCCTCCCACACCTCCTCCGTCAGTCACTCCCACCTTTCTTACGGCCGCTGCACCCCAATAAACAGCAGACTCAAAGCAGTGCCAAAGCCCCAGACAGCGAGGTTAAGCTCTTCCTTCCTTACTGCCTTCTTCCCTGTTTTCACATGGATACTCGTGGCAGACCAGTATGTCCAGGGCTTTAATTAAAAATTCCAGGCTGGGAGTGGGCAACCAGGCCGCTCCATCAGAGCACCCGCCACCGGCAGCTCTGCGGTTTGGACATCTGCCCACTCAGCTCCTGCCTGTTCCCAACCCATGACAACCCAGAGGAGTAAGAAATGCTGTGCAGAGAAATCCTCTGAGGTCACTGAGGGCTGAAAAGCCACAAGCCCATGATTAAGAAAGTTGGTCACACTGGTTACAGACCCAGAGCAGCCCAAAGAGGAAGCAAAAATAACTACGGAAAGGTAAAAAGGGGAAACCAACAGCCATGAATGTAAATTAGATGAGAGGAACCAAAGAGGGCGATAAATCTTAAGGATGACACATCTAAAGCAGGCATGGACAAATCCACAGCCAAGAGAGTGAGAACTGAAGGACTTGGGTCGCCCACGGAGCTCCCTGACCTGCTGTGGTAACACAGCATGCAGAGAAGCCAAAGTGTTTCATAAACATTTCTCTTCTGTACTTGGGGAAGAGCCAAATGATAAGCTAAGCTGTATCACATAATGATAAACTACTTTCCACTTTGACCATAATTCATGATTATACTAAACAGCTACTACTAAAACTAGGCCGTTTTTAACCAGCAGGTCCTGATAACTCGCACTTAAAGGGTTTTCAGAGGGTGACACACACTGCCTTGGGCACTGACACAGGGCTGTGGCACTATTTAAAGTGAGGAGATGTAATTAATTCTAGATCTGGCTGCTCTGACATCCCTGCAGAAGGCAAGCAGGCAGGGCTGACAAGGACCCCCAGCACTGGTGGCTTCATGTTGAGCCCAGGCATTTGTCGGCTCCACTTCTACAAGTTTACCCCCAAAAGAACAGCTTTTCATCCTGCTGCTGCAGGGCACTGTCACCGTGACTGACAGTGTTGCAAGAAGGGACAGGGACAGAGGGGGCACACGGAGATGGGTGAGCGTGGGAAAAACACATCTTCAGTCTTTACTGGCCAAGAACAGACTTCATAACGTGACTTTAGGCTGCCCCAAATCACAAATTGACTCTGATAGCAATATCCAAGGGGGAAAAGCCACTTTATGAACAGATTATTGGGATAACAAGGAATTAAGGGAGGTAATATTATTGCTGTGAGTCTACACGGTTCAGAGAGACTTAACTGTGTGTTTCACAGTGCCTCCAAATCTGGTAGATAAATCATCTCTGGAACAGAGTTTTATAAAGCACGTGATTTAGTACCAGACAAGAATCAGCCTGATATGTACTACCAGGAGAGTAAACTGGCAGACTGATCTCAAAATCCAGGGGAAAGCAGGAATTATGACCAGGTGTCCACCCCTAGCAGATTCTTGGCTCCTGGTTATTTATTTCTAGTGGTTTTAGAGCAGCTGAAGGTGGAATTCTCCTGCTTAGGAGCAAATACTACAGGGTCTATGTCCTGGACAAGGAGCAGCTCTAGAAACGAGGTGCATTACCAGCTAAACACACCTTCCCACGTCCAGCACCAGGCAAAAGGTGGAACATGGAGCCAGAGGAGCTCTGAATAGGAGCAGAGCAGCTATTTCTATCACTGTCTGTCACGGGCGCAACAGCACTGAGAAGGGGGTGCCAAAAAAACGGGGAGGATGCCAAGCCCTAGACAAGCTTGGTGTGGTCCATGGAACAGAGGGCGGGCTCAGCCACGTGCCCACACCAGGGAATTCAGTAACGACAGGACCGTGGCACGGCGGCTGGAAACTGGAGGTGGATCGTTCCCGTGCTGAACAGAAGAGTGACGCTGCCACTGTGAGAGCAGTGAACCGTGGTTTAGCAGCAGGGGGTGGGGTTCCACCTCGCTGGCAATTTTAAAACAACTGCACATGCCTTCTGAGAGCCACGCTTCGTGGGAATTAATTAATAGCGAGCCTCGTGGCTTGTTATGCAGATGAGATGATCACAACGATACCTTCTGGCACCATAACCCACCAGCGTGTGGTCCTGAGCCCCTTCCCGACGGGATGCAGGGTGGCAGAGTGACAACCAGCACCCCTGTGCCTGCAGGTCCCCAGCAGGTTTGGGATGTGGGGCTGGCAAAGGCACAGGGCAGGTTAGGTAAGAACCATGATGCCATGTAACACCCTGCACTGTGGCTCTGGCTTAGTGGCTTAGGGTGTAAATTGGGGCAGAGATTAAATCAGGGGCAGCTTATGGGCTGGCACAGGGCTTAGGGCTGGACTCTGTTCCCTGAAAACAAGGGAAAATCCCTCTTTCAACAGGTTTGAAATCCATCCTGCTGTGTCCCCTCCTGCAGCACTGGGGCTGCTGCTGAAAGCAGAGCCCACGGGGTGCCACAGCTCCCCCCGAGCCCCTGCCGTGGCACACGCCAGCTCACAGCCTGACACTGCCACTTGGGCTCGCCAGAAAAGAACCCAACACAAAAAAAGCACCCCAACCCCAACCCTGAATCATTCTGGTATTTTGTGGGATCTGATTCACTGATGGAAACCATTCAAAACACCCACCTCCCGCAACTATAGATATCTCCAGTGCTCTCCCACCTCCAGGAAGCGCTGATGGAAAAGCTGCCCAAAAGATGAGCAAATGGCTCTCTTTAGAACTAAAAAAAACCAAAACCTTTCACACAGAGGGTGAAGCCCAGGAGCTGCTGTCCCCCACCACACGCTGCTTCCCCTCAAAGCACCACCACTAAAACCTCCCTGGGCCCACGTGGGACCCAGGAGACCCTCACTTGGCTGCCTCCTCCTTGACAAGGTTTCCCCAAAAGCAGGAGCCCACAGACCCCTCCAGCAAGGGCTTGAAGCATTTGCATTCAGTTCTAAAAATAAAATTATTTTCCTCCAGGTAGCAAAATAAAATGAAATCCCACGCTCATACAGCGGGGAAGCTGGGACAGAAACCCTGCAATGTGAGACAGAGCTGGTGGAGCGGGAAGGTCCCACCACCCCCAGATGAAGTGGAGGAGGAGGCCAGGGGGTCTGTGCAATCCCACCCCTCTGGTGAGCGCAGGGATGCAGACCTAATTCCCACCAAGCCACCAGCCAGTCCTGTACACGGTGCCGGGATGCTAAAGGTCCCACTGAAGTTCAAAAAAATGGGATAAAGAAAGAAGAATAAGTGCAGCAACGGATGAGGAGACATAAAACACCACAGAGACCAGAGAATAAGGAGGAAGGAGAAATTCAGCCTCTGGTTGTGCACTTCTGTGGGCACTTACAAAGGGCTGGGGGTAAGGAAGTAAGAAAAGCAAGCTTGCTGAGCTGCCAGCTATTCGAAACCCCAGTGCCATGCTCGCTCCCCTCGAGCTACCTGGGAATCCATCAGGAAAGCTTAACAGGAGTCTAGAGCAGCCCAGGGGCAGGGGGACAGTGGGGATGGGAGGAACCCAGGGGCAGGCACCAGAGCACGAGCAGCAGAGCCCAGCCCTGCCACGGGGGCTCACCTGGTGCACGCAGACGTTGCACTTGTCACAAAACACCATCTCGTTGCCGTCCTCCCCCTCGGGCGAGCGGCACACGTCGCACACCACGTCCTCGTCGTACTCGATGCCCAGGCCCTCCTCGGTCTCGATGGCGATGTTCATGTTCTCGTAGCACATGGTCTCCAGCTCCTCCAGCACTCGCTCCAGGGTGATCTCGTCCAGCTCGGGCTTTTCTGCAAAGGCAGAAGGCAGAGGATGAGGGCGAAGCCGCGGATGCAGCTCCCGCCTTCGGGGAGCGCTTCGCGAAGGGCTGAGCGTTTCCCATCGCGGCTCCGGAGGCAAATCCGCGGCGACGGGAGAAGCGACGATTCGGAAAACGGCTGCTCCTAACCCGGGATGCAGTTTGTATTTCACAGACAGCAACAAAATATTGCTGCTGGCCCAGAGGAAAGAAACCCATTCTGCTGAAGCAATGCGGATAATTGGGGCTGACAGTTTAAACGTTCAAGGAGACAAGTTTTGCAAAGATGCTTTTTCTGCAGCGAGGGCTCAGACAAGCTCTGGCAACACAAAGTCAGTGCTTTAATTGTTAAGACTGAAAACTGACCCTTCTAAAGCCAATTAAATGGAACTGTAAAACTGAAGCCAAAGGAGGAAATTGAGGGTAAATGAGGGGGTTTTTTACCTGGTTGGGTTTAGCAGAATCAGAAGGCTGGACCCAGGTGGGTCTTTTATTCCCCCCACACCAGGATCTTTAACATCTCTGGAAGAGATGCTTCATGAGAGCTTTCTCCACAGAGACAACAAGGAACACCAGGACAATAACCAGGAGAGGTTTTTTCAGAGCAGCAACCTCTAGCAGTGGAACACCCAGCTGCCTTTAGAAGGGGGATGCTGCTGCCAGGAGCTCAGCAGCACTGAAGTGGTGCCACACAGAATGCTGGCCCCAAAAGTGACACTTTTCACCTGCACACAAAGATCCTGGTGCCATAAACACATTGTGAGGTCACTCCAGGTAAGGAAAAAAAGAAAGAAAAAAATCTGTCAGCAGCAGGAGTGAGGCTCTCTGCAAAGGGTTAGAGGCAGAGTTAAACCCTCACCACACCCTGTCTCCTCCCATGAGCACTATCTCATCACCCAAGGTGGCAGAGAGATGAGGACAGAAGTACCAGCAGAATGCAATACAAAACAATTAAACTTTGCATTTCATTAGTGTGTATCATCCAGAATGGGGCAGACAGTGGAGGAGCATGACCCGCACTGCCGTCCACCCTCCTTCCTGCAAAAAAATGGGAGAAAACACCTCACTTATGAGCAGAGAGGGAGGAAAAAAAGGCTGGAGGAAGCACTCATAAGGAACAGTTACTAATTAAATGTTCAGTGAAAAATCTGACTTCCTCTCGAGCCACAGTGTGATGTCCTGCCCTGGACTGAGCTCCGGAGCCCTGAGAAGCCCCCAGGATTGGGGAGGGCTGGGGTTGAGGGGGTCCCAGACAGTGCTCCCAGCACCTCTGGCTGGCTGGGGCTGGCAGAGGCTGCACGATTCCCCCACAGCCACCAACTGGCTGAAAAAAACTCTGTCAAGGGGGAAAGCACCCCGTAGGCGAGCTCGGCGAGCACACACACCATTGTCTGCCTTTTTCAGCTCTTCCCCAGTGTTTCGCATTGGCACGGTTTCCCTTGGCTTGACAAGTCTCTGCAAACATCCAGCCTGGCATTTTACACGTCTATGTCGAGTCTGAGATACCATCTAAGACAGACAACACTGTTCCCTATCACAGCCCTTTCAAGAGCTGGAGCTGCTGTGCTCCAACACGCCAAGGAACCTGCCGGTACTTGTTGGATTCCGGAGCGGCCCCGGCGATGGGCGCGCGATCCCGGCCGAGCCCAGGGCTGGCACCACCGGCCTGGGGCTGCTGGAGCTCAGCAATGTGAGGCATCCTGTTCTAGAACAGCGAGTTCTGAGCACCAGAGCTGGGGCACAGCCACCGTCCTGCCCTTGGCACGGTGCAGGTCGGACGCAACAGGTCAGGAAGCACAAAATCGTGGAATGGGTTGGGTTGGAAGGGAGCTTAAAGATCACCTCGTTCCAACCCTCTTTCACAGGCAGGGACACCTTCCACCAGCCCAGGTTGCTCCAAGCCCCTCCAACCTGGCCTTGGACACTTCCAGGGATGTGGCAGCCACAGTTTCTCTGGGCAACCTGTGCCAGGGCCTGCCAACCCTCCCAGGGAACAATTTCTTCCCAATATCTAATCTAAATCGACCCTCCTTCAACTTTAGGCCACTCCCATCTGTCCTATCATTGCATGCATGTTACAGAGAAAGCCAGAGCATTATCTTTGCCTTAATGGAGTCCCTTCACAAACACACCACCCAAGGTGCACTTGCTCAACACAACTTTATGCGAGTATTAAACCAGTCCAGCAAGAATATCCTCCTCTTGGTCAGGGTTTCAACTCCCTGTCTGTCACTACGAGCCTGGGCACTGGAGTGTCAGCCTGCATTTACTCTCTTCCTCCCAACATTTCAGGCTCTGCTTCTCTGGAAAGCATTAAGGTGTTCCCAGTGTTTTTTTCCCACGTGCTTTCCAGAGCTGCCCTGAGCTCAGAGGACAGGGCAGGCAGAGAGCTGGCAGCTGCAGGCAGCATGAGGAAGGAAAGGGAGGGTGTTTTCCACAGGAACCATGACCCTGACCTGCCCACAGGGTTGGGATCACGTTGGCACTGCCACCGTTCCGCTTCACCTCGAGTGGAAACAACCGGCGCCCATCCCATCTCCTGCATTTTCCATCATCACCTGCTTAACCCTGGGAAGGAAGTTCATGCTGATCCCAAAAACTCCTGCTCCGGAGCAAGAGCAGCCCCTCGGGGAGGGGGTTTCCTTATCAGCCTCCGAGCCGTGTGGCTGCTGCACCATCGGCTGGGAGAATATAGATCCGTGGGTCCCACCCACGCAGGCGCTGTGCCACTCCACTCAGATGTGATTACACGAGGGACACGTTTGCCAAGCGTCATTCCCAGCACCTCCGAGCTTATTGAACCGACAATTGCACTTGATGGGGATGAAGCGATTAATCGTTTATGAAACACTAAACAATGGGGCCTGGGGGTGAAGCGCTTTTTCCATTTGTGCTCCATTTATCTCCTTCTGCATCACACGAGGTTCGTGCTATTTAAACTCCATTCATAAAATTGTCGTCTTCTTGGCTGTGAAAACGCTCTCGTTATTGACCGTGGCCAGCCAAGGGGAAAACACAAAAACCCGGTGCACACGCACAAGTGACACTACTGCTGTCCCCAAGGAAGGAAAAGTAAAGACACAGATACTGATCTTGGCTGCAAAAGGATAAATCCAGTGACACCCACGTTTTGAGACCATCACCAGGACAGTGGACTCTACCTGCTGGCCAACAGAACTACTTTCACCTTTTGGTTAAGGTATGCCAAGGTCTTGTAGGGAAAGTGGGGGAGAAAAGGAAGCTTTTCTGAGCCTCCACTGAGAAAGGCAGTGTAGCCACAAACTTCTCCAGAGTTCCTGTCCAGAGGAATGCAGGCAGGAATGAGACTTCCATCGCATGCCAATACAATCACCAGCGATGTTCAGAACACTGACACGGGAGGAAAAGGCTCCATGTCCCATCACCCCTTCCAGGAGGCCACCTGCACACTCCTCATTAGCACTGAGTGTGTTAATGATGATGGGTTTTGATGTTGCCACCCAGCCCCCCCAAGACACCCTGGCATTACCCTGCAGTGGGAAGGGCTGTTATCCAGGGAATGCTGCCTCCCATGCCATCCCAGATGGACAAAACCTGTCCCCTCTCTACAAGGGGCAGGGTGCTGGGGGGTGGCACATCCCCAGCTAAGGGAAGGGTCAGAAAGGGGGACTTTGCTTCAGAAATGGAGGAGGAGAAGAGGTGCAGATGATGATGCACTATAGGAGGTCTCCAGATCTGATTCAGGGAGGGCAAACATGAAGGGACTTCGCTCCAAGCAAGAAACTCTTCACTGTATCTCTGCATCAGGGTCCGCCACGACCCCTGAAGCTCCACAGACACCCAGCCCTCCAGTTATCCCAGGGGCTTCCAAGGGGCCCAGCCCCAACCCCACACAACTCAGCTCCCCCAGCTGCCCTTCCAGCCCCTGAAACACAGACCATAAATGCTTTATCCCCAAGGGGCTGGGCTGGCACCGGGGCCACAGCGCCGCGTCTGGGAGGAGCACCGGGCACATTCCTTCACACAACGCCGCTCTCCGTTATAATTACGTCTGTAAGACCGTAATTTATGTGGCATGAAGGAGCAATATTCTTCTGCTAAATGAATTCTCAGCTAACTCCTTGTCGTGGTGTGAGCCAACTCACTGTGCAGGGAGGGGAAAAAAATAGCTGGAGAGCCACCTTTCACAACACCGAGACCTATTTCTGACTGAACCGTGCTCCACTAATATCAATTTACTGAAACAATAAATCCTTTCCCCCTGTGGAGAACACATGGAGATAGAAGCAGCTCATGAACAAACAGCTATCAGGACTGCAGGCTGTGCCATTTGCTGATTCACAGCCTATAAAGCTGGAAGTCTACTTTTCAGTAAAAATATATCTATAAACAAGCAAAATTACTGCCTTTTTATAATAACAATAAAAAAAGGGAAAGCACTTGTGAGATGATGCAGGCTTGTCTCTTACTCTCTTTGAGAGACTGGGAGTGAAAGAATGACAGGTCCCTGATGGGAATGGGGTGTTCACACATGGCACAGGAATCACAGACTCCAGAGATCTCCTTCCAGCTCATTGTCCCTCCAGTTCGCCCCAGGCAAGACTCTTCAAACCTGCCTGCTTTGGCACCTGAGGGGACACCAACCACCCTGCCCCGGGCTGGGTGACCCCCTGGGCATTCCACATCCTGTCCCAGGCATCCTTCAGGGACGCCAGGGGCTGACAGCCAACCACCTGAACACCACACTGGGCCACCTGGGACTGCCCCAGTCACCTCCACCCCACCCCACATGCAGGCACACAGCGCTTGGGAGATGCAGCAATCGTACATTAATCTTTTATCAGTGTTATTTATAAACAGACCCTGCATGTAAAGTGTGGCCAAACACACAAAACAGCGAGCTGAGCATCCACAGTAAAACTTCCAGACATTTTGTTACAAACACAGCCTGCTAATGCACTTAAAAGATTTACAGGAACCAATTATCACCCTTTCTGCCACCCACCGACATCAATTATTGCTCAAATTTAAGATGATGACAAAATGTTTCAGGAGCCACTTTATAAGCTGCTGCCTCTCTGCAGCGATGCTCAGCTCTGACAGAGCTGTCCTAGAGCACTCCTGATGAAAGCCTCCTCGCTCCATCCACCAGCAAAACCTGGAGTATTGCTGGAAACTACTGCAATTACTGCCAGGGATTTATGGAAACAGCAAAGCAACAGCCTGATGTGAAAACTGACTGTGCTGGAAAATGTGGAGGTAAAACGCCTGAAGGGTCTCCCACTGATCTCCAGCCCTGTTAATCTGCACATTGATACATCACATACATACAATTAATACATTAATCTACACATGGTATAGATTATCTGTTTCTCTAAGGAGCTAAATAAGCTCAGCTCCCCCTTCCAGAGGCTTGCAGTGTTTTCACCTCTGCCAACAACTTAAGGATCTGCCACCTGAAAATATTCCTGAATTTGCTTGCTTAAAGATAAGCTTAAAGGCCAAGGCTATTTTCACACAAGTGGATTATTTGTGCTTGTGTTCTTCTTCTTTTTCCCTCCCTTCCCTTCAGCCACCCCATGCTGCAGCAGCCCAGCAGATGGTCCCATCTCACCTGTTCTCACCTGGGCACAGCAGCTCCCACTGCTTTGGGAGCACCCCTGGCCAGTGATGGAGGTGTTTGTGGGACTGATGCTGTTTACAGCAGAATCAGAAGCCCCACACCCCACCTTTGGCTTTCCAAGACCCCCACCAGCTCTCCATGGACCTGCTGCAGTGTGCTCTCACCCTCATCATTCCTGACTGCCATCAGTCCTGACTGCCATCAGTCCTGTTCCTCTTTACCCCCTGAGCCCACCAACTGGCCTGCTTACAAGGTGAGTTCTGCTCTTGACTTAAACTGGGGGATGGACCCCTACACGAAGAGCAACAGTCCACCAGCAAAGTGTGAGAGTGGCACCTGCCTCTGGGCAGCTCAGGTGAGTCCTCCCTTTGACACCAACAGCATTACTCCAGACCAACACAGCGACACTGAGAGCAGCTTCCAGCCCTAAATCTGTTCCCAAAATACTTCTACACTGCACATCAGTACCTCTGTTAAATATCTCCTGCTTGCACAGCACCACCAGGTAGTGGAGGGTCTGCTGGTTCCTCTGTCCACACAGCCCACCCTTCTGCTGCTGAAATGGTACCTGTGCCATGAGCTTACAAACTCGGGGGAGAACAAAGATTCCAGGATTCCAGGCTACACACGGATGTTTGTTGTGGGCTGCAGCACAGACATGTTATAAAAACAGCTCCAAACTGGCAGGATTTCTTCAAAACAACAACAATAACAATATCCAAACAAACAGACCCTGAGTTATTAATGGGCTCTGCTTTCCCAAGCTCTGAGTGGCAGAGCAGGGTGAGGCTGGGTGAGGGGCAGGGGGTGCAGGGCCATGGCTGGGAATGGTCCCCTATGGCTGTAAAGGGAAACAGTTCCCACTACAAAAACGACAGACCTCTGCCCATCCTCCTGCCAGCCTGGCCTGGGGAGCACCCCTGTGGTGGGACAGCAGCCCTGGATCCCCTGCACTGGGGTTCGGATGGGGCTTGGAGCAACCTGGGCTGGTGGAAAGTGTCCCTGCCCACGGCAGGGTGTTAGAACTGGATGATCTTTAGGGTCCCTCCCAACCCAAACCATCCTATGATTCTACACTGGGCTGGCCCTGCACAGCCTGGACATGGGGATGGGCACCCGTGGGTGGGCTGGAGACAGTCCCTGCCTGGGGAACGCCAACTTGCTGCCTCAGGGTGAAAAAGGGGCTCCCAGAATCCCAAAAGGATGCAGTGGGATGGGAGCAGCCTCAGCCTGGGACACGCAGCACTGGCAGGGAGGCAGCATCAGCCTGCGGGGAGTACGAGTAACTGCAGCCTCTGCCCCTGCGAGCACAACTTCCCCAGGGGTCCTCCACTGACTTCAGCTTATTTCACATCTACTTGACCAATCTCACCTCTGCCAAGGGAGGTATCATCTCATTAGCACACAGACATATCTCAAGTATGCAGCGATGAATTCCCCCCGGAGCTTCAAAAGCAATCCATGTGACCTTTGCATGTTCCTGCCATAAAATACCAGGAACACCTCCAGCTCCCAAGATAGAAGCTGTGGTGGGCATATGTGAGCAGAATACACCATATGGATTAAGTCAAGGGAATACTTAGAAACTTCAACTCTGCCTTCAGCAAAATTGATTCCGACAACAATTTTAGCAATTTCTTGAGGATTTTCCATGTGTTTATGAAGTGCCGATCACTGCAAAGGGATCTTTCAGCCCTGCTCTTTGAAGTCTCTCTAGCCCTGCTCTTACAATGGCTTTGGATTTAGTGGAGATCACAAAATACAGCATAAAATGTTAATATAAAAAACGAAGACTTACGGCACGGCTCCCATCTAAGAGGAAAGGCCTGTGCTGCCTGGAGTGCCATGGACATAAATCTGGCTCAGGGTTTCACTCAGCCCTCTTCAGATCCACTTTTTTTACAATCTCATATTGCAGCAGCAACAAATAAAACACTTAGGCATGCCTAAATACTGACTTCATCTCTAGCACACAGAGGTTCTTTAAACAGCACAATTCCACCAAGTACAGCAATAGCTCCTGAGGCGTCTTACTGGGGGGTTTAAAACTATTTAAAGCTCTTTTATGTTTAAAACTTCTGCTTTTCATGTAGAAGTTTTGCTTTTCACAGCAATTCCACCTAATTGGAAGAGGAATCAGCAGGCAGAATGCAGAGAGATGGAGCTATCTGGAGGTTTATCTGATCCCAGTGATAAAATTCCATCCCTGGGGTGACCTAAAAAGGACTGGAAAAGGCATGTGCTACTGTGGATCCACGAAAGGAGAGCTGGATGATCTCAGAGGTGTTTTCCAGCTCTCCTCCCCGCAGATCCTCAAGAGCCAGTCAGAGATCAGCATCCTTCTCTGTCATTAAATATTTTGGGAATGACATATTGTGCCCCTGGACTGCCCAGTGACAACAACTCAGCCGAACACCCGGGAGGAATTTAAACTTCTGCCTGTCTCCTAAGGCTGGGAGATAACTCCTGACTCCTCTGAATGGAAGGGGAGGCTGCAGCTCTCCAGTTAAGTCACGTTAATGATCTTCAGAGATTAGCAAAGCGGGTTTGGAAACCTCAGCGTGTCATTAATGCCAAGAGTTTCCGGGAGAAAGCACTATTTATGGACAGCCTTTGGACCAGCCTAGGCCACAGCAAGCCTCTGTCCTGGGGGGTGAAGGGCACCCAGATCCCACCCTGGCTTCTCCCACATGGGAAGCCTCTGCCACAGCAGAGGCTTCCCATGTGGGAGAAGCCAGGGTGGGATCTGGGTGCCCTTCACCCCCCGCTTCCACAGGCAGGAAAATGCACCCCCCCAAAGAAGCCCACTGCCCCCAGACCCTGTGGTGGGCATGGCTGCCATGGGGGATGTGACTCTGACAAGGAGATGGAGAAAGAAAAACGGATTTTGCTCAGAATTGCAGAGGGTCAGAGCATGACCTGTGTCCCGACATCGACCCAAGGGGGTGCTGAGGTGCCAGCCCAGCCAGAGCAGCTGCACGGAGCAGGGCTACCAGGGGGTACTGCTGTGGTGAAGCTCAAGCTCCCTTCCTAAACCCAACTGCCTCCCAGGGCAGTGCCACTCCCCCAGCACACTCAGCTGGGCCCAAAGGTGACGTGGGGACACCCAGCAGCCAGCTCCCCCCTTGGCCTGGGGCTGAGACCTTCCAGTCACCTCAACCTTCCATCAGCACAGGAGCTCCACATCTGAAAGCCACTTAGGACACTGCACTTGAGACCTAACACTTCAAAGAAATAACAAAGCCAGTCAAATTTAACCAAACTGAGCTGGAGAAGCCAAACCTCTGCCCATGGCAGAGCTGAGGCTGCTCAGGCAAGACCAGCTAACAAGGGCAAAACTGCCTGTGATTTGCAAGTGGTGCTACAGGCTCCACAATGCTGAGATTATGGGAATTCCAATATACAGGATACCTGCAACAGATAATCAGAGCAACTGTCAAAGCAGCCTCTGTGACTTTCTCAAGGTCATGGTAACGAAATCTGGTTGTAAATCATGAGCACATCAGAAGAAGAGATGTCTTCCAAGATCAGGCAATGTGGTGGTGACCAACTTTCTGAGCTGGTTTATGCTCCAGACAAACTCACTGAACTGCATCTTCCTGCCTTCCTCCTGAATGTCCCTGCAGCCCTCAGCCAGCTGCCTGTGAAGCCCAGCACAACCCTCCTGCTCTGCAGGGCACGATCCCATCTGCTCAAGCACTTGGTGGCATTCTCTGCCCCACCCTGGAAAGATCTTTGCCACTGCAAGGAATGCTTCATGCAGGCAAGCTTCAGCCTTCACTGACCTCACAAGGTGAATGTTTTATTGAGGTGCTATTCTTACCTGCACAGCAGCAGCCACATCACAGCAACCCTTACCTAACAAGGACTGGAAAATCCCTCCCTGGTCTGGCAGGACTACACACCCACGGGCCTGTGCCAGCAAATCTGCCCAGCAGACCATGCTAAGCACGAGTGCCAGTGGTCAAATTCCAAGCTCAGGTACTTGCACTCGACCAAAATGCACTCAAGGATTTGAAGAATGTGCAGTGATATAACAGCAGTGGTGCAGCCAATGCTGTGCTGTGATATTTAGACATGCCTGGGTAAGGAGGCAATCAGGACCAGCATCTCTGAGATTCTGTCCCACATGATTACCCAAAAAGCCCAGATGTCCACTCTGGGACCCCCCAGGCAAGGAAAAAACCAACAGCAGTACTCACCCATCTCCTTGAGCTCCATATTAACAAGCTCCAACCAGCAGGCATCGAGCTCGTCCAGGTCATAGCGGCTCATTCCTTGCAAGTAAGTCCTTGTGGCTTCCGAAATCTCAGAGCCAGGTAGGCTGCTCGGTGAAACCTGGGAAAGGGAGCTCTCCAGCTGGGGGATGATCCTGGAAGGAAGGAAGGAGAGGCTGAAAAAGAGCTACAACTCACAAAAATATTCTGTTTCTGTCCTGGAGGGGCCCATGTACAAACCCTACTCCAAGAATGAAAGCACCAAAGTCAACCCACGAGCACTGACAGTGGCCCCAGCACAGGTCCATGGCAACTTTCCTTCCACTACAGCAATAGTTTTCCCATTCATCTGCAGAAATTAACCCTCTACATGAGAAAAACGAGCTACAATGGATATGATGGTCCAAATACTGAGAGCAACAGTGACCCCCCAGCCATTACTCCATGAACACCTCCAGTGTGCTGTGCCACTGCAGTACCACATCCACACTGTGCTGAGCAGCACCTGGGCAGCCTTGGCACTGGAGAACATCCCACAGTGGCCTGTGACATTTGTTCTGAGTCTAATCACAACCACAGGGGTGGGGAGAGGAGTTTATCTGCTGCAAACTCCCTGCCCAGGGAGCAACCAGGCACTGGCTGTCAGCTCTTCTGCCTTTCCTTGGCAACTCTGCAGCAATATGCCTGGTACTTGCCATGCACATGTCAACAGTGTCATGCCTAATGACATGCAAGCAGAGGACAAGCTGGAAACGAGAAGCAGCCTGTGGTGCCAGCTGACAGATCTCAGCAAAGTTGGGAGCTGGAGCTCGCTGCAGTATTTGCACAGCTCACATTTCCTCCCACAAAATCCACCTCCTGGCACAGATACCAAGACAGAAAGATGCTGCAAAGAAACAACCACCAAATAGCAACCTGCTGCAGCACATCAACCCCTTCTAAGCAGCTTCTCCTTGTGCAAAGCTGGAGAATCCAGCCCTGCTCTTGCACCAGAGCCAGCTGGGAAGGCCACTGATGCCTGCAAGACTTTTATCTGCCTTCTGTCCTGCTGTGTAAGTTAATGTCAGAGCACTGAGTGCCTCATGCTCTGTGATGTGTCTGGGGCAAAGCCATCGTACCCATCACATAACCAGATGAATCCTGGTACCAGATGCTCCAAGGTCTGCAAGTGCCAAGGGAAGAAACTTGTGCCCAGCTGTCCTCGGGAATGGCATCCTACCTGCCTTGCCCAAGGTCAGGAAGGAAATCTGTGGCAGGGTAGGAAAATGAACCTGGAGTTTCTACAGACCTGGGCATGTAGTTTAATTGCTGTCTTCTGCAGTCACAAACTCTGGAGGAGCTTTGGGAGCCACCAGCAGGAGAAGCAACAATTTAATTGCTCAGAGAGGGAAACATCCAGACATGGATTATTTTCATCTCTTTTGCTTTCAGTAAACTTAAAATAAAGATGTGACCCAATGCCCCAAGTACATCTCCAAATTCCAGCTCAGGAAATGAAAATAATCCCATGAAAGGACAGCTCTCAGTCCCCACATCTTAAAACGAGCTCACTGTAATCTAGAACAGGTCCTGGGGATTCAGTAATGCCTGTATTTAATGCAGATGGAGTAGCAACACTGAAACTAGGCATGCTCCAGCCAGAGCTTCAGGACTGACATCTAAGGAGCTCCCAGACCCCTAAAATCACAGAATCACATAATGGTTTGGGTTGGAAGGGACCCTAAAGATCATCCAGTCCTCCTTCTTCCTATCATGGGCAGGGACACCTTCCACTAGTCCCAGGTTACTCCAACCTTGCCCTGAACACTTCCAGGAATGGGGCAGCCACAGCTTCTCTGGGCAACCTGTGCCAGGGCCTCCCCACCCTCACAGGGAGAAATTTCTTTCTAATATCTAATCTAAACTTGCCCTCTGTCAGTAGGAAGCCACTTCTCCTTGTCTAGTCATTACATGCCCATGTAGAAGTCCCTCTCCAGCCTTTCTTGTAGCTCCTTTAGGCACTAGAAGGTGCTATTAAAAAAAAAATCAGCAGAAGCTGCTGGTGTAACATGCATTGGTTCATGGAGGACTGAACCTATCCTTCCCACGTCCAGCTCATCCCTGCACAGGAACAGGCCCTGGGAGGGTCAGCAGCCAGGCTGGACAGGGCTCTCTTACCAGAGAGACCTCAAAGCTGGTGAGAAAAAAACAATCCTCCAACTGCAGTGGATGTTGTGGCTGGAAAGAGCTGCCTGAGCAGCACGAGGCCAGCCCTGTAAGCCCTCCCTAAGCCGAGTTACACAAGCTGCTCACCCAACAGGTGATGGTCTGACACCCGGCCAGCCCGGGATGCTCGGGATGGCAGGAGGAAGGAGCTGCTATTTTTACCCTGGCATAAAAGGGCAAAGATTAATGCTCTGTGTACATATCACAGGAGTATCCTGAGCAGGTCATTCCCTATCGACAGCACTGAAATGCCCTCGGTGTGATAAGGATGCTGAGGTGCCTGCAGAACCTTCCTGGGGTTATCACTAACATGGGGCACACGACACCCCTCACTGCTCACTGAGAGCTGAGCACTGCACTGCCAGTGAGGGACACAGCCCCTGCCTGAGCCTGGGCACGTCAGCTCCACGGGCAGCCTCCCATTCCTTCTGCAGGTACCTCGTGAAGAAGGCTCTTTGCTGCACCCGGTGCTCAGGGATGGCAAAGTGTCCCTCCCCAGTCATGCACCCGCCTGCCCAGCGCTCCCAAACCCCTTCCAAACCTGTGTGCAGGCTCTCAGGTCCTGGCTTTGCACAGCCCCTGGTGATGCAGAGACCACAGGGAGCCCAGGGGCTCACTGATGACAGCAGCACCCCCAGCCCCTGACGTCCAGCTTTTCCTGGCACTGATTAAACGGAGTGTGCTTGGGTTTAATGGGAACTGGCACTCGCAGAGTGACGCTTTGCTTCTCACCATGTCACTGGTGGTGAAGATCAAGGTAATTAAGATACAAACACCTAACGAGCTCCACGTGCTCGCTGGCACTCTGTTAAAAGGTTTGAAACGTGCCAATGCAGTGATGGCAGGTGCCTCCCCCATCTGGGAACACACGGATCAGGGAGGGATGATCAGGTGCTGCAGCACTCAGCAGCCTCTTTCCATTACTAGTTATTGGTCCTACAAGGAATAAGGATTAATATGAAATGTATTTTCTCAAGAGGACCACTAGACTTTACTTTTGGAGTCTCCCCTCCACGGGCATGACCTCATGCCCCCACACTGAGCAGGCAGCACGGGCTAGATCTCCTGGAGTTAATTCAGGCTTGGGGATGCTGGGACACATTTGTGCCATATTCTCACCATTTCAAATATCAGCAAATGGAGGAGGTCAGAAATGAAGAAACTGAAATAACTGCTAAATTATTTGTCATACAGTGAGCAGCTTGTATAACCCCACGAAGACCCGCTGGAAGCCTGGTCCAGATCAACCTCCTGACTCATCCCCAGCACTTAAACAAGAGGTTTTCCTGGCTTGCAAACAATTCAGCAAACCATATGAGAGGCTGTGCCTGCTCCCATGAGCATCCCCTCCCATCCCCAGGGGAGCTGGAGGCTGCCAGATGCTGAGGCTCACATGGGACACCCCGAGCCTCTGGGAAGACCAAGCGGGACGTGATGCCCAGAGCTGCACAGCCTCCCATCAATTCCTGGCCTTGCTTTAGTGGGTAAAATCATGCTCCTGTAAAGCAGCTCACTCCTTCCTGACACAAGTTAACACACCTGCAGAGGGCTTCTTGGTGTTCAGGTATAAAGATCAGTGACTGCAGTGACAGTGCCTTGGGCTAGGAAGGGACAGATCCTACAATTTAATACACGAGAGCAGTCCTTTGGAGAAGTCCATGCCCTGCCTTACAGCAATACAGAAAACAGACCAAGCTGTGCACCCCTCCTCAACTCCAACAGCACCAAGAAACTTAGCCCAGAAAGCTGCCAGCTTTGTGCTGCCCAGTGGAGACACAGCAGGAAAAAAGGGAACAAACCACGGGGGCCACCCTCAGCAGTGTCTCCTGCCCATCTCCTGTTGGGCCCTGAGAGCTGGGGATGTCACCAGGGCTCCACTTCCGTGCAGGAACAAGGTTTAATCCCTTTGGAAATACTCAAGTTTCCAAATAGCTGCTCAGTAGACAAAAAGAAACCCAGGCTGGGTGATGAGGAGTTTGCACACATGCCAGCAACCCTCCCAAATTCCCTGCAGCATCAGGGTGAGGAATCATGGAGGCAAAGCCTCCACCAAGAGCCAAACCATTTGCAGGAGCTCGATTACACTGGAGGAGCATTCACTCCTTTATTTATCCAGTCAGAAACACGATATTTTAAAAAAATTCTGTATCAATCAAAGGCTCATTTAAACAAAGGGCTGAAAATTGGGATCAGCCTGAAAAGCACAACAAACCTGAGGCCATTAGTCTGAAAGTGGGTCTCAAGGGCACTTGAGGAAAAGGAGTAAGTGGACCCCAACACTCCTGAGGATCACATCCATCCCTGGAGAAGATTACACAGTAATAAAATATACTCAGCAAATTCCCATGGTTAATGATCTCTGTAAACTGAATGCTTCACTTGGCTGAAGGGAGAAGGCATTTTTTTCTATATGCTTTTAATATACCAGATAGAAATAATTAATCCTGCCTAGTGTTTCTCATCTGAAAACACTTAATTTTATTACAGCAAAGGCTTTAGTCAGTCATCTTTTCTTTACCTCCATTCCAGTCTAAATTAGTCTTGCCCAGTGTCCATAAATAAATCAGCTTAGGAAAGTCAGTGGAAAGATAACTCTGCCAGCAACCTCCAGTGGATGCTGATACTGCTCCTACCGCCAGCTCTGCTCACAGGGGAGTTCTCCTGCAGCACACGAGACAACTTTAAAAGGCCAATTTAAAGGATGATTTTCACTTTCTGATTATGAAAACAGTATCTAGCAGGCCATTTGGACCAGATGCCCCATCCTCCTATGAACCCAAGCTAACAGATTTTATAGATGCTGCTGCTTCTCCACAGCAGAGCAGAACTGAAGGTGTTAGGAAAAGAGCCTGGGGGTATAAGGGTGAAGGATGGGGTTGGAGATAGTGGTGGATGGTCACAATAACGAGCTGCAACCCACACACAACATTCTGTGACCCTCAGCGTACCC